TTAGCAAGTATTCATCTACTGTTGGCGGTGACTAGAATACGATGAGATTTCAGCAGAAATGGAGGTAAAATTGATACCGTATTCTGCTTCCTGGAGCCTGGAGTAATTTGCACCTAAACACAAGTACTCGAGAGTAAGACCTCAAATAATCAACCAAATTATGGCAGATTTCATACCCTTGTGAAAAGCAAAAACTGAGTAGGTATTCAGAAAAAACCTTTAGGAACCGGCTACGAACCGCTCGTTAGGAGCTAATGATTCTATGATCATATTAATGCATGTAGCAAACGTTTTGATCACCGGCAGTCACAAAACCGCAGCTCCTTTTACTGGTGAATTAAGCTTTGGGTGACCAAATGGTAGGAACGGAACCCCCCGAGAAAACTCATCTTTACTTGAAACCAATTCTCTATGAGACCCATCAAAACCTAATTATACTGTCAAATTATGTTTAGCCGAGGTGCTGGCGAACACAGGAACTTTTACTCAATACTCACACAACAATTCGTCACTTTCTCACGCATCTTTATTTGGGTTCTCTTTACTTTTCCCATGAATTCGCATTTTATAGGTCTATTCATTGTACTTATCCAAAACACGAAGCAGGAAGAACGTAATATCTCATTTTTCGAGTAAGTGAACGCAATCCACTACGGTGTTTGACAAGACGATACGTCTAGCCACCGAGTTCCCTGTGTCTGAAGACAAGAGGCTATATGGAACGGATATCTGCGGGCAGTGTTTTTGAATGCTTTAATTCACCTGGGGAACAGAACTACGTAATCTAATGTAACTTTATCTCACTATGGGATATGCGTCCCTTGCTCATTGTTTTTCATTAAAACCAAACTAATTGTCGATTATTACTTACAGAGAACAATGTGCTAGGTATTCCTGATTTACAAGGATAATGCGATATAACAGTGAGTTGGTTCGCGGAATTGTGGTCATTTATTCTACATGCTGTTTGTTTAGCCCATTAGAATTCATACACTCGAGCCTGTGTGTAAATATTATGGCGTAGGTATCACTGCGCATGGGAGTCCGTTATTTTTCTGGATGTAAGACTAGGCAGGGACTCAAAAATGACACGATTGATGATGAATATCAACGAGAAAAAACACCTGTCCAGAGCTCTATGCCGGTCACTTTCAAACTTTGAATTCATGTTGATAAACCACCACGGATGGGTGTCATCACCGATTATAGGAGAAATATATGCTATGGAGCAAAATAGTACTAAAATGAATAAAGAAGCCAAAGACAGGATAGCACAATGTATCCTGGGTTGTTTCGCTACATCTGTACAAAGGAATACACCGGTCTATGTGACCATTAATAGCACCAGAAATCACAGAATCGTAGGCCTAGGAAGACAGCGATCAAAACCACTCCTCTATCACATTTGTTACCACGATGGCGTCAAATTCAGTGTTCTATTACGGAAATTACTTGCTTGTTCCCACAGGATAATAACACGGTTGGATCGTTTCTCGGCAAAAATGATCCAACATTACACGGAGTTCCGGGTAGGAAATAACAGATAATGTAGTCATCAGTGAATCTGCGTCTTTTTAGTTGTGTAGGAATGAGAAATGTGTCAGGTTTTCATCATGTTTCCGACTGAAAGATTTAACAGTTAGTGCACAAAGGACGTGGGCTGCAAGGGTGTTCCAAGTACTGCACACTCTGATAACAAAAGATTGACACCAGCATTTCAGCCGACACTTTGGAATCAGTAACTTGAAACGATGCCCCTCCCTAGTATGTTGAACGACAACATGAGCAGGATTTGATACACCAAAATTAAGTCTCCTCCAATTCCGCGGTACTGAGCAGAATATAGTCTCAATGATCGTAGTCTTTCCTCATAGGTGAGGCAGCTCAATCCCTTGACCATCTTGGTGGCAATCTTTTGTGGACACTCCAGCGTCTTACGATCACGTTGCAACCATAGATGGCGTACTCTGTGAACATTCGAATGTACACTGATAGCAATAGCGCGAACAACACTGATTCAATTCGACCAAAGACTCGTCTTATGATCGCCTACACAAGCGAACATTCTTCACCGCAGTGGATGAAGCCCCGGCGCCACTGATCGAGTAGCTTGAATTCTCTTAAAAAACTAAACCCAAGTCCTCCTCGCTTGAGGTGTGTGGCAGACGGCGATTTCCGAGGAAATATAAGAATCTAATCTTGTGCCGTATGGATAAGACTTTGCATTTAGAAACATTGAATGCCACGCCGTGCTCTATAGACCATTCATAAGCTGCGTTTCTTGAAATCGCAGAGCCCTAGGGGTTCTATTACCGTATTCCAGATATGGGCCTAGTCGACAAACAGTGTTGTTTCTGGCCTAAGCACATTTGGTAGATAATTAATGAATGTGAGGAAAAGTCGGGGACCAAATACAGACCCTTGTGGAACACCGCTGGTAACGTTGATAAAACCGGATATATATATTCAGAAACATACACTGATATAGTCCGTTGTCGGAGCAGTGCTCTGGTACGATCAAGCGAGAAACGTCGATTGCCGTAATTGTAAAGCTTCTGCAAATAAATTTAGTGGGCGGCCCGATCAAATGCTTTCGACAAGTCCAGATAAGCCACATCCGCCACATTCCCTTCGTCGACTGTTCTGATCCATTGATCTCGAAAAGGAAGCAAGTTGGTGGAACAAGATCGCTTTTGCCTGAACCCATATTGAACTATCGAAAGAATGTTGTATCTTTCTAAGTGCTCCATCAGGGAATCTGCCCCAACTGGCTCCATGAATTTCGATAACACTGGTAGAAGAGTTGTCGGCCGGTCGTTAGCGGGGTCAATACGACGACCACTCTTGTGCATATATATGGGTGAAATAACTCCTTTTTCCAAGAGTGATAAGCCATTCAGGCTTTTTATACAATTGGGGATGGTAATTTTGAACGGTTAGTACCTTGGCGTAGTTCAGACCCAAAGTGTTCTTTGTGCTATAAAGGATTCTAAACGCGTCTCGCAGTATGACACAGCGTCTCATCTTGACCAGGTGTTCTGTGATGGATGAACTGAGTTTTGTACGGACCACCTGTGACTTCATACAAAGTTTCCACTGATTGTTATCTGAAGCCAGACCGGGATACTCTCGGCTACTCGATAATGCAATTCCCTCAGTTGGGTTCAGTTTTTACCGCCGTTAACCACGCGATTTTGTGGACCGGTTTTGATTGCCGTCTCATGACAGCCCACTTGGATAAAACAGCAGAAGAGAGAACGAAATGTTGTGAGCAGAGTCAAAGAGAAGATAGAGAGTTCACATAGACTAAGGTTGCAAGAATAATGAGCAGGTGCACGAGCGTCACTGCTTGCAGTTGTCTCTCTGCTATACCTATGTAGACGCCGAGCATCCACAATTGAACTCATCGAGATAATTACATTTGGCGAGAGAGGACAGCGACGTTTTCACCGATGGTGAAGGTAAATGGGTGGTTTTGAGAAGAACTTACACATTAACACCTCAGTCAGATTATTCCACTTCTATAGCATGTGATTCATTTTTGTTTACAATATTGTCTGGAAATTTAGCATGCCGACAAGATGAAGGAGGCTTTTTGTTCTCAGTTTTACCAGATCGGATATGTTCAACTCATTGGGTCGAATGGGTGCGGCACGGTTCAGTCAAAATCCAAATGATAGACAATCGATGAAAGAACTATACAAAACCCACCTTTCTCGAGGAGTAATGATGAAGTAGGTTTAATCGGTTTCACACTTTCATCGATTAGTCAGAGATCTCCCGCTTTGCGTCTGCTTATCCCGGAACCAAGAGATCGCGTAGCTGCGTTGTTTCAAAACATAGCAACAAAGACCGAGTGTACGTAAGTTCTTTTTGAATAACGCAATTCTTTCCTATAACTCAACTCCGTTATTCTAGAAGTGAACAGGAGCGACGAGATTCCATCCTGCAGAGAAATCAGCGGTGAGTTGCGAACTAAATGCCGTGATTGCACTTGAATATAGCTACGGCATACTAGGTGACGCAAGATATCTATACGACGATCAGCTCATAGCGAATTCGGCAGATGGCATCACTGAACAAGCCGGAAGTCCGACCCGGGAAGACATATGATTGTATAAAAATGCAGGTGCATTGTCAGTCATACGTGAAACCTAATCAATGAATCCATTTGAAGTAGACAAAACGCTCCATACCAATTCGTATTAGACATGATTTGAGCTTAATTTGCGAAAAATGAAATCATATTCATCCAATTGTTTTTCTTATCCCATAGAATGTCTGATAGCAAGCGAATCTAACCAAAATTAACCCGGAACACACCGATATCATACCGATGACCAAATCCGATCCTGCACTCGACAACCGTAGCTGGAATGGTACTGGGCACATATTGCAACATTGAGACTCAATAAACGTGCCGTCCTGTAAGCATAGCATTTCAGTTTAACGAGAATGGTTTATAAGGAGAATTCGTTGTGTCTAAAGCAAATGAAGCGTGAACTGAAAAGCTAAGAAGCACCGTACAGTTAGTTGTTTTGACATGGTTAGGTCTCATCAACCTTGCGAATTTATTGAACCCGGGACCTCACAGGCAAAACGCAAGTATGCTACTTGCTAGACAACAGGGCAGCTGATCAGACCTTTTTTCATTTTCCATATACACGATATAGCAAAACCTATCTTTGCGACCTTGTTGCGGGTATCGTGCCTCACTCATCTCAACACTAGCATCCNTGAAACTTTCACAACCAGAATGATTTACTTGAAGCTCTGATTAATGAACACTCCCGTACACATTATATGACCAGATGGGTAAACGCAGTCGAGAAGGCAATCAGTGATCTTTCGTGGTATTTTTATTCGCCGTGCTCAGTGCGGATGGTTTGGTGAAACACCAGAGTGCCAATGAAACGGTTACTCTCAAAAGCGGGATATGGGGATTTAGCCCTGGATGAAAGTCGGGAATAGAAAGAGTCCAATGAGAAGATAGGAATACAAATGTCAGCTTGTATTCCCAAGAAAATGAGACATGCGAACGAATCCACTGGATGGATGCATACCCATCATACGCGTTCCAAGGGCCATCGGTCGACGATCCATAACCTGTGCGGTTTTGGTCATACATCCGTACAGAGTATGAAGACCCTGTGTCAAGGTTGCCAAGAGGCTAGCAAGGCATACGTCATTCGCTTGACGATAGAGATAGTCGCACATCTCGACCGGACTAGACGATTGAGCGTCTCCCGCACCAGCCTCGTTACCATTGTTGGGGGATAGTAGAGGGAGGCGCTTGACCAAGGAACTAATATCTCGTAAACGGGCGCGATTGATGGGCAATTCACCGGCGCCAACTGCTGCAACATATGATCGAATGAGAAAGAGCCGATTGCACAGCATATGTACGGCCTGGTAGTTGCCCAAAAGGTGTTCTGCAGTCTGAGAAAATAGAAAGAACCGAAAGGTACAGGCAAACAAATAATAACTCCTGGATATTTTATAGAGGTTAAGAGAAGCGATCCCCTCCCTCCTCCCCCGCCCCCACTCAAGGCCGGAGTCCAGGTTTGTCCAGAAATGTTCGGCCTTGAGTACAGCAACATATGGTTACAACGGAACTTCTTAATTTTTAATAAACTATAAGCTGCGTCTGTTTCAACGTTAACCATGCACTTTCGTGCGCGGTTGAATTGTTGTCTTTTGGCTGCCCATTCAGATGGAAGAGTATAGCGAAGATTGGAATGTTGAAAAGCGCAATAAATTGCAAATAGAAAGTGCTGATGGTTGCAAGAGAAATGACAAGACACACGAGCGCCACTATTTGCAATGCGAAACCATATAGCCCAATGTATCTAACCATCGATTACACTGACCCTGAAATTCCCATCCAGGAAGCCTAACGCGACCTAAATGAACAAGTCTCCTGGTCAGAGTTTCTATAGCTTTATGCCAGGTCTTAGTTTGATCATCTTCAACTGTTTTCCATCCATTACCAGTAGCGGTATGTGGGTAAATGAGTATTGCAAAAGGGAACAGGAAAATAATTAATAGACGCAAGAAAACATTCGAATAAGTTGAACCAAGCGGATTACCTACCAGTCACAGACCCATTGCGCACAATGGAGGCCCAACCATATCAAACCAGCCCTAAAGACTAATCATTTACACGGGTCTGATTTGTGAAATAAATAGAAACGAACTGATGCAACCGGTAACCGCCGCTAGTCTTCCGATAGCTTGTCACCTAAGAGGCGTGTCTGGGGTTTAGATAAACTTAACAATCCAGGAAATGGCATGAAAATAGAGCTACAGGGAAGCATCAGGTCTTTTAGCACTAAGCTTTTCGTGACTTCTTCTGAGATCCTATTAAAAACCGCATTATAGTTCGTCAAAAAGCGCAAGTGCATTACGAAAGAATACGTCGAGAGATGACTAGAGTTTAGCTTCCTCAATTCGAAATCAGTAATCCTTCACCCTGTTTTTAACCTGATTTTATGAAAATGCATGGAGAGAAGCGATGCTTATGGCAGATGAATAATTAACATTGCAAAGGTATTGGATGCGCAAACCATCAGGGCGGTGAGAGCTGATGGGGGGCAGCTAACTTATGGTCCGGATCCAGAGCACCCTCTTCTTACTTTGAATCTCCAGCGACTCTTCACACTACTGAAGGTAACAAAGGATCTTCAAAACTATCGGGTTCAATGCTTCCCATCGCGTAGCAAGTAAGGGAACGCGGGGGAGAAGTGATAACTTAACGCTCGAGCGAAAATAATGAAACTTATCTAGAGAATAATAGGGAGTTTCATTTATGTAGATTCACTATCTCCTGTTTCCCACTTTGATACGTGCATCTAATTAGAAATCAATGTATCGGACACGACTGGGAATCAAGAGAGGTCATTACGCAAGATGGGGCCGGAAACAGCTTGATGGAAAGTTATGCGTAGCAGTATTGAATATTAGTGCGTTGTTCAATGGAACAATCGAATACTTGTACACGTTAGTACTGTACAGTCAAGCTTTCCTTTTTTGTTGAGACAACTAATAGAGTTACTTAACTTTTTACTTTTATGTGGTCAGCTCCTGCAGAAGGATGATCGGAGTTGTACAGACAATGTACAGTAATGCAGTGAAATCACGTATTTACTAGAGGTCTGATGTCCCAACAGGCAACGCAGAAAGACGTTATTTCCGCACACACACACACGCACACACACACACACACACACACACACATATATATATATATATATATATAGTGTGTGTTTTAGAACCGGTAATTGGACATGGAAATAGGCTACTTACCACCGAGGATCCTTGTCCAGTGTTCGACATTGAGATTCGCGCGACACAATCGATGCCGATGCGTTCAGCTTCATCCGTGGCTAAAGTGTAAGTGACCTGTCAGTGAAAGATGAAGAATTCTGTCAAATGCAAGTAATTCGACAACACTTCATACTCAGACAAACTGCGAACGAATCCGAAGAGTTGTCCGGGGACAGTTCCACGAATAGTATTCTTCGCTTAATGGTCAATTGGTTAGACGGGATACCAGTTGTGGTGAAAGTGTTATACAGTATATAGTTCGGAAGGTAGGATGCAACTATTGGATTTCGTTCATTCTACGTATGTCCCCCAAGAAAGTTCGCCTAATTCAGTCCAGGGAACCTAGCAGTATTACATTGACGAACGAGTCATGGACTGATTTCTTTCTGATGAATATTGCTGTACTGCGATTTGTTTGACGTACAATCTTGACTCAAACGCGTATGAAATATGGTAACATAATACACAGTGATTTAAGACTAAAGCGGATAAATTCCGCTCGTGGAACCAGAATTTAGATTAGAATCATGTTTCAATTTTATTTGGACGTGATGGATAAAGATGAACGTTAGTGGGAAACACACAAGGGTCTTTCGGAAAAACAACGGACCCGGCTCATGACTGAAACTCAACTCAGAATCAACATTACTTTCTTTAATTCAATTTGTCAGTTCTGTCACAGACACTCATTAAAACCCAGAAATAAAAACAATACTACAACTTCTCATATTTTGTTCAGGGAGGTAAATCAGGTTTCACAAAAAGCCGGGTCTGTCTGTGAGTAAAATAATGCAGATCGTGTTTGCGTACTTGGTAACCACAAAAAATAAGTGTATGCAATGCAGAGTAAGCAGTGAACTGCGGAATTATCAACCACTGGCTTAAAGAAAGTAGTTACGCAATTTAGCAAACTTTATGCACATTTAATGACATTGAGGTTTAAATCAGTTCGCTGAGGAAACTGCAACAGCACGAACAATGAAACTTCCCAACTCGTTCGATGGTTTTCGGGAAGGTGAGAAGTTCTGAACAAGTATGATCTAATCATGTGACAACATTTCATGTTTTGAATATTTCAAACACTAGATTAAACAGAGACACCACCGTATGGGCCGGACCATTACCCAGTCATGATCTGACCGACGCGACGCCTTATTCAGCATGCGCAATGAGAACAAGGATAGTGGGCAGGTCCGTGGATCTACCCTTTATCGTCGCAGCCATAGTCTATATGGATTTTCTATCTTCTCCTTGACTGTGTTCTCAATACTACAATCTTTCTTCCGCTTGCTTTTTCAAATGGACAGCCTAAAGGTAGAAACCAAAACGACCCCACAAATGTGCATGGTTAATGGTTGTAAAAGCTTAGCGCAGCTGAACACGTAAAACATGACCATATATTGGAGGTAGTATCGAACAACTTCGCCAGGTCACGTAGCTCTAAAGGGAAACCCTATGAACTACAATATAGTCCTTCCCTCAAGAAAACTACAAAAGGCACGGCAGCGCTACCGGTGTCGCAGGTTAGCAACAGCTATAAAAGCTTCCACTTAGTGTAATATGATCTATTCCTCAACATCAACACCAACTGCCATCAAGTTTCCTACATGCCTAAAGTTTTCAGCTAGTTCTACATGATCATCACAAAGAGTTAAAACAGATACAGACTCCAGCTAGTCTTGTATGAGTGCTCTTCCTTCGGATAATGCAAAGCACATACCACATATGGACACCTCGATCACAAAGCGGTTCAAAGCATGCTGGCTTACATGTGCAATGTAAGTCAGTTAGGCGATACCATCATGATATTCTGGACTGGAAAGTTGTTTTCTAAGGGGGGGGGGTATTCAACTCTGCTGTATGCAAAAGGGGACAGAGCATTCCGTAGAACATCCACAGTGACAAAGTTTAAGAGGAATGGAGATGAAGGATAGTCTTGTTAAACTCCATAGGATACAGGAAAGGGTGACGAAAGGCGACCACATATGGTAAGTGCGGAAGGAACGGATTCCATGTGTAAGTACATGAACCGGCAGCTCAAAATGACCTGAGACGGACCTTTATTTGATTTTTACTTATTAACAGCTGAATGCACCTTTTGTATGCGATTACGGTTAATCGGGTCGTGCAGTTAGAGAAGTCATCATAGTATCAACTCGCGGTCTGACCATGATCAGTGTAAAGAATAACATCAAGCCAAATCCAAAGCGTGATCCAACAGGTCACTGTGGTGCTTTTCGTGAACAAAATGAAATTAGTGTGAAAACATTCACAAAACAGACAGATGGGAAAATGGCATAGGGCAAATTAAGATATATAAGTCTACCTGTCTGAAATGCAGTCTTCCATCGTTATCAACCACAGATTCATAAATTCTGACGGGCAGTTGATCTCCACAGGTTTGTAGGGGATCCAACTTCAAAATCAGTAGTGATTCGTTTAGCTCCTGCATCTGATAAAATCCGATGAGTGACTAAATAATTAATGCTACTTGTCGATTGAACAGCTCATCACTTTCAGTAATGACACCACCAGTAGTGTACCATCCCACAATATCTAAGTCGGGATAGACTTGTTTGCATTGGGCTTCGCGTGTACCGTAGAATNACATGTGGGGCTCATCCAGTAGCAATTCGAAAGAATTAGTGATCTATATGGTGTGGTAAAATTATAAGGGTGTTACAAAATACCTCGACGTGATGTCCCTCTTGTTTACCTAATAAAGCCCCATAAACAACGACTGCTGGTGAATTTTCTTTCACTTTATTACGCGTCCAATGTTCGGAAATATTGAGAACTACGAGCGGATGTAACTGAACAGTGACTGAACACGGTCCCGAAGCGACATTTCCAGCATCCTGAGGTGGATCTACCTCCATTGTACGATGCGAAAAGTCTAGAGAATCTACAAAATATTTGGAAAAACGGATAATTAGCGGGAAAAAGGTAAAATATTGCAGAATAATCACGGATCTCAGAAAGTAAAACAACCATGGAGTGGCATACAGTAATGAGGAATATAGTGCATGTTTTACTTTTTCAGGACTACCTTCTACGAGGGGATGTTTCTGAATATTGAGGAGGGTAGCCTAATGCGTTTTCTGTCAACCAACAGATTCCGGTGTTGTTACTTCACTCAATAAATGATTTTGCTAGAGGTCCCGATAAACAGATTAGCTAGTTTTCCATAATACTCTAGGCATCCAACATCAAAATGGAAGATCAAAGCTCGAGACACAAGTTTGTTCAAAGTTGATCGTATTTTAAAGATTCTTCTGCGAAAAAATAGTTTTCACTGGAAACTAGATCAGGATCATTGTCATCCACAACGAACCGAATGAAACAACACACCCAATATCTTGGCAAGAAATAATAAAGATAGCAAATTTTCTAACTGCATTGGAAGCCACGAATCGTTAGATTAGTTGCTTTTCGTAATAAGCCTAGTCAGAAACGGTACGGTAGCTACCTACGCAAGTGGGTTAGAAACGAGAGCGGATATTAGTGATTGATGTACGGACACAATCAAAGACATCTTACTTCGGGGTTGTTAACAGTCAAAAAACTACCCAGCAACCTATCGGGGCCTTCTGTGATTCGCCACTCCGGAGCTTAGGTTGCCGGTTTCCGAGACTGAACGGGAAGTCCTCGAGACTATCAGGTTAGCCCCGTCTGCTGTTCATCATACTTAGGTGTGTCATTAAAAAAATGCTTTCCTGCAATTCAATTTTCTGCGCCGGTTTGAGTTGCTGTCTTTTTGATGAAGGATCAGGAAAAAGATAGTAAAGTTGAAAGTAGAGGCCACCCAAAACCTGCCTTGGCGACCTATTTGACGATATGCCCCACAAAGCTGGACTCCGAGTCAATGCGAACGGAGAAAAAATTCGGGTGGTAGACGTGCAGTGGTTTGATCACCGTCACCAACGTGCTTTAGACCCGATTATCCAAGGTTCGAACATCAACACTGTCACCCAACTTTGGTAGTAAGCAGCTTCGCTGCCGCCCGGTTCGACACCATAAACATGGGACCCACTCTCTCTCTCTCTAACCATCACAAAAATGTATCTAATATAAATTAGAAATACCTGAATTACTACGTTATTTTACTATTAGTTATCCTGGAAGAGGACGTTTATGAGAAATAAATGGTAAATTGAAAAAATTGGAGAACTCCATTGATAGGAGCGCAGAACACAATAATCTACAATAATTTTTTTCGATACTCCTAATATTTTAATGCGGCAATATTACTTGAGATCATAACCACACCACAACCGCTCATCAGTCAATTCGGAGCATAAAGTTGATCTTAGAGGTCTACACTAGCGCCATTAGTGTGGGTGTAGGTAACGGATAAACATCGATGGGTTTCAGAATATTGACAAACACTTAAAATTGCGGGGTGAACAAACTATTGTAGATGGAAGTCTTTCAAGCACTAACTATCCGGCAGATTTCTAAATATACGCTGAAAGGCAGAATCAACATTTCCAACAGTAATCAGAAGCATCCTAAAGATAAACCCGGAGTAGTCCATAATTGTCATCAGGAATCAAAAGTAGAGAGCGCTTCCCTGTTTGAACCTAATCATCACGGCAACCAACAGCATCCCCTTTGCGTGTCAGCAAGTTATCACCGCCTAGCCATGCGCTGGTCGAAACAGATAGAGACTCGTCTCGCTCTGCTCCTCCAGCATCTACGATGATATATCAAAATTCAAACAGGAATCACTTTTCTCAAAAGACAAACCAAGGGAAGTACGGTACACTCTAACATAAGAAGTGTTAGCCTATAGAGACGTTCCAATTGAAGTAGAGTTGTGAAAACTCAGGAAATATCTCTAGTTCTAACTCGCCTTGAAGAGTTTTCCACAAAGGATTTTACTACAAACTTATGAATGAGGTACTAAGTGACGTCGCTCGGATCTTGTTCGAGGGTGCACCTCTAACCCTTGCACAACCAAGTGCGGCCCGCAGGGTAACAGGGTGAAATTGTTGGTAACCGGTAACCGTTAGAACGGTTTATACGCCTTTCGGATGGCTCTGCGCCAGCTCAGGATCCCAACATGTCCGTGAGGTATGAGGGTCGGTAGCATTCCTCAGGGTTTGTCCTACTCGTAAGAGTAGGCAAGTAGCAATGGTGGTGGGCCATATTCGCACACGTCGCGATGCTGTCAGCAGATGCTTGTGGCATTTGAACGGGATATCGGCTGCCATCCGAAAACCCCACCACGTCCTCTTGCATCGTCGCTGATCGTCCTCGACCGATTATTCAGTGAGGTAGCCCCACCTGTTTACGGTTAACCACCAAGGTGGCCGTTCTCCTATCCGCGACCTGCAGACGAGCTCGGTAGCACTCAGCTGTGCTATCCGTAGACAGTTCATTGACTAAGTTTCTTCATGGATCGTCTTACAATGGTGCCTCACGTTCATGCTACGGCGTTCCCGGGAAGCGACGCGCCCTGTTCTCTCCTAGTGGCTGGGGTGATAAATGAGCGAGCTGGTAACTTAAACCATCTTTGCGCCAGACCCAGCATTCATGTAGCCTGCTAAAATGCTAGAACATTCATCATCATCGTCATCGTATAGCGAGATACAGTGAAGCGAACTTCACCGATCGCTGCCAAGCTTACAATGTACACAAATCAAGTGATAAAGCACAAGATGGAGAGGGATTGGGCTTACTTGGAGGGAGGCAAAGAAAAAAACCTCTATGTTCAACATACAGAGTACACAATCTAAGTGTTCATGCATACCTTTTTCCAAGCATTCTGACTTGTTAAGAAATGGCAACAAGAACGCCACTGCTGTCGGTTCGCTGGCATATCCTTCAATGTCTCCTGCCAACCAGTTGCAGTCTTTCGGACCCCAACGTGGAAGACGGGAGACACCGATTCTACCCAGTCGCTCTGTGCATTTCTTCATGCCTCGCTTCCACGTCATCTGTGGACGACCACGCGGTTTCTTCCAACCTGGAGCCGCAACTGCGAATAAGGCGCGGTGCGGTAGACGATGGTTGAACATGCGTAATACGTGTCCTACCCAGCGAAGCCGACTAATGTGAATTCGATGGGACAACGAATTCTCCATCGAACTATTACCAAATACGCGACAACTTACCTCTGAGTTGCTTACAAGTTCGTTCCATCCAACCCGCGCCAAACTACGTAAACATCTGCCGTCGAATACTGCAAGACGACGGATATCTTCCACACGCAAATTTAGGGTCTCGCAACCATAGTGCAGAACTGGCCGGACACTGGCGCCGTATACACGACCTTTCAGTTTCAACGAAACATCGCGTCTACACCAAAGGTGTTTCAATCCTGCGTAAGCTGCTCGAGCCTTGGAAATACGGGTGGTTACTTCATTGACTATGCTACCGTCATTTGAAACGCAGCTACCCAAGTAGGTGAAACCTTCCACTACAACTAATTCTTGACCATCAAGCATCAGCACTGGGGGAGACGACACCCAGTCTTGTAGCATCACTTTGGACTGAAGGTACAAAGCGCATGCCGAAAGGAGTTACAGAGCTTGAACGTTTGTCCAGAGCGCTTTACTCATCCCCCATAGATTCAAACAGGCATACGATGTCATAAGCGTACTCTAAATCGCACAGCTTTTCTCCATATACCGATTCAATACCGACGTATTGGAGACCATTAAGTGCGTTCTCCAGTACTTCGTTTATGACGAAATTGAACAGGAATGGTGAAATAGGGCACCCTTGAAGAACACTATTCCTGGTTTCGAACGATTTACTTAGCCCACCGTACACTCTTTCGTTACCAGAAGTATGTAAGTACAGCGAACGCAATAGGTTTACATACTTCCGCGGTATTCCTTTGCGAAGCAGCGAACCCAGAAGAGCTTCACGATCAACTGAATCGAAGGTTCCTTTTAGGTCAAGGAACACAGGCCGACAACGTGTGTGACGCAGATCGGGGACTTAACGCAGAGCGAAGATTTGATCGAAGCAAACGCGACCTGGTCGGAATCCTCTCCTTTAAAGGTATCAGTTTCAGTTTCAGTTTGAACAACCATTAACCATGCACTTTCGTGCGCCGGTTTTGGTTGCTGTCTTTTGGCTGCCCAGTGGGATGAAGAATAGGAGAAGAAAGGAAAGTTGAAAGTGGATTCGAAAAGAAAATGGAGAGGTTCAGTGGACTAAGGTTGGAAAGAAATTGAGATACACGAGCGCCACCGTTTACGACACCCAGCCATATCGCTCAGTGTAGCTAACCATCGGTTACGATCCGCCCGAGGTCCCCAGCCAGGGAGCCTAACAGGACCCATGTGACCCAGTTTC